CAGGCTTCAAAGCTACAGAGAAAACCTGTCTCAAAAGAAAAAGAAAGAAAGAAAGAAACCAGACTGCTGAAACACCCATGTGCCTTTGGGAAATAGTGGTGCTTGACAGCTAAGTGCTTTTGTACAGTTACTTTTGGCTTTGGCCTTGAAATTTCCACATCAGTTTCTTTTTTGTTGTTTGCCAAGACAGTGTCTCATTATGTAGCTCTGGTTGTCTTGGAACTCAGTTTGTAGAACTGGGTAGCCTCAAACTCCCAGAGATCCACCTGCCTCTGCTTCCTGAGTGTTGGGATTAAAGGCGTGCGCCACCACTGTCCAGCAAGCATGTCAGTTTCTAGATGACTTCAGTCAGCACCTTCCCCTTCCCTCTCTCCCTTTAGTGAGGTTGATCATACATTTTATAGTAGTTATATCATACTCACTTCTAATCCTGATCTTTTGAGGTGGGACGAGATGCTCCACTTTAATCTGAACCTCATCTTCTCCTGGTAGTCACTAGAAAGGACATGGAGGAAGGAAGCGTGCTCTCTTTGCTTACCTGTTCTCCCCCTTGCTAGCAAGTCCATTCCTTCACTGGCATTGGAGTCTACCTCTTTGGGATTCTGGCATAAACTGAAGGCCATCTAAGACATCCAGCTGTGGGCTAGAGAGATGGCTTAGAGGTTAAGAGCAGTGGCTGCTCTTCCAGAGGTCCTGAGTTCAATTCCCAGCAACCACATGGTGGCTCACAACCATCTGTAATAAGATCTGGTGCCCTCTTCTGGTGTACAAGCAGACATGCAGACAGAACAGTGTATACATAATGAATAAATAAAATTAAAAGAGACATCCAGCTGTGTGTGTGTGTACATAGATATTTACTTATTCTATAAGTTCTGTTCCTATATAGAGCCCTGACTAATACAAATTTTGGTACCAGGAGTGGTTGTAGAGCAACAGAAGTATAAGGATATTTTACTTATTTTAAGTATAATTTAATATTTTAAGTATCTGGAGTAGGCTTTCCAAATTGCCAAGTTGTGAACACCTACAGTTATTGAATCCTCTCTAATTTTTGTTGTTGTTTTGAGACAGGGTTTCTCTGTATTGCTTTGGAGGCTATCTGTCTAGCCTGGCCTCAAACTCACAGAGATCCACCTGCCTCTGCCTCCCGAGTGCTGGGATTAAAGGCGTGCGCCACCACCGCCCGGCTCTCTCCTGTCCTTCTCTACTGGGAAGGGTTACTGTACACTGGGGAAGGGAAACAATCAGACTTTTCAGGGTCGATTGGGCATAGGTTCTTAATTGATGCTGATTCTGGGAGACCCCAAGAAGTACTGTGACCCTCCACTTAAAGTAGGGGCTTATGGAGGTCAGGTGATTGATGGAGATTTGTCTGAAGTCTGACTCACAGTGGGTCCAATGGGTCTCAGGACTCATCCCCAGTCCCAGAATGTATAATTGGGATAGTGATATACTTAGAAGTTGGCAGAATTCCCACATTGGTTCCCTGACCTGTGGAGGACAGCCTGGTCTACAAAGTGAGTTCCAGGACAGAGAAACCCTGTCTCGAAAAACAACAACAACAACAAAAAATGGTGGGTTGTTGAGCAGTGATGGCGCACTCCTTTAATCCCAGCACTCGGGAGGCAGAGGCAGGCGGATCTCTGTGAGTTCGAGGCCATCCTAGTCTACAGAGCGAGTTCCAGAACAGCCAGGAATGTTACACAGAGAAACACTGTTTCAAAAAACCAACAACAACAAAACTAAAACAACAACAACAAAAAACCCAAAACCGACTGTGTGTTTAGGAGCTGGAGAGCTGGCTTGACTGTTAAGAACAGTAGCTGTTCTTGCAAAGAACTCAGGGTTTATTCCCAGCACCCACAAGGCAGCTCACAACTGTCTACAACTCCAGTCCCAGGGGATCCGAAGTCTTGTTCTGACCTCAGAGAGTGCCTGGCATGCATAGGGCACACATCCATACATGCAGGCAAAACTCTGATACACATCAAATAATCAGTAAATAGCTGTGTTATAGCTGGGTATGGTAAGAGCATGTCTTTAGCACTTGGGGAGGCAGAGGCAGGTGGATCTCTGTAAGGTGAGTTTGAGGCCAGCTTGGTCTATATAGTTAGTTCCTGGCTAGCCAGAGCTACATAGTGAGACCCTGCCTCAAAAGTTATTATGTTTTTTATAACAAAAATTACCATTTTAAATGTAAAAATCAGGGGCATTAAGTACATTTGTAATGCCCATCTATACTATGTATTTGCTGAACTTTATCATCCCAAACAAATACTGACCTTACCTGGTAGTGGTGGCACATGTCTTTAATTCCAGCACTCAGGAGGGAGAGGCAGATGGATTTCTGTGAGTTCGAGACCAGCCCGGTCTACAGAGTAAGTTCCAGGACAGTCAAGGCTACACAAAGAAAACCTGTCTTGATAAAACAAAAACCCCCGGGGCTGGAGAGATGGCTTAGAGGTTAAGAGCACTGACCCCTCTTCTAGGGGTCCTGAGTTCAATTCCCAGCAACCACATGGTGGATCACAACCATCAATTCAATGTGGTGCCCTCTTCTGGCCTGTCAGCAGAACACTGTATATGTAATAAATAAATAAATCTTTAAAAAGAAACCCAACAAAACTCAAAGCAATAATCTCCTATTATCCTGTTCTTTCCAGCCTCTGTAACCTCTATTGTACTTTCCATCTTTGTAAATTGCATATTCTAGATACCTCATGTAAGTGAGTTATATATGCCTTGTGTCTACATCACATCACTTGGCATAACATTGTCTTCTGGCTAGGAGCAAGGCAAATATCATGCTCATTTTGTCAGGGGTCACTTTCCTTCTGTTGTCTTTTTTGGCTGTGAACCTTATAGGGCCTTTAATGGCTGAGCCACCTCTCCAACCTGAGGTCTTGCATTTTGAAATTCATTCTTCAGCATATTTTTGTATTCATTTTTTATTAATTTATCGTTTTACATTCCAATCCCAGTTCCCCCTCCCTCTTCTCCTCCCACTCCCTCTACTTCCCCCTCAACTTCTGTTCATTGATTGGTTGGTCTAGGTTCTTTTTTTTTTTTTTTTTTTTTGGTTTTTCGAGACAGGGTTTCTCTGTGGCTTTGGAGGCTGTCCTGGAACTCGCTCTGTAGACCAGGCGGTCTAGGTTCTTGAGACAAGTTCTTGCTATGTAATACAGTAGGAGCCAGGGCTGGAACCAACTGTTGAACACACTCACCTCCAGCTTGTGTTCTTCCTGCTGAAGTTTCCCACATGATGAGATTACAGATGTGCACTTGCTCAATTTTCTTCCTCCTCCCTCTTCTTTTTGTGGCTCATGCTGGCCTCAAACTCAGAGATTCACCTGTCTCTGCTTACCAAGCATTGGGATTAAAGGTGCATAGCAGCATGCTTTTGTTTTTTGGTTTTTTTTTTTTTTGGTTTGTTTTTGTTTTTGAGACAGGGCTTCTTTGTGGCTTTGGAGGTTGTCCTGTAACTAGCTTTTGTAGACCAGGCTGGTCTCAAACTCACAGAGATCCTCCTGCCTCTGCCTCCCGAGTGCTGGGATTAAAGGTATGTGCCATCACCGCCTGGCTGTTCTTTATTTTTATAATTATCCCTAGTATATTTTCCTTTTGTTTTTTAAGTGTACGTGTGTTTTGTCTACCAGTGCACTGGGTGCATGCAGTGCCTGACCAGGCCAGAAGAGGGCATCAGATCCCCTCGGACTAGAGTTACAGATGATCGTGAGCCTGCATGCAGGGCCAAGGAAATGCACCTGGGTTCTCTGGTGTAGCCAGTGCTCTTCACCGCTGAGCCGTCTCTCCAGCCCCCTTTTAGGTTTTTATAACATCATTGTTTTTGAGACAAGGTATCACGTAGCCCATACTGGCTTCAAGTTTGTTCTGTACTGGAGGCTGAGCTTGAGCTTCTGACCCTCTTTCCTCCACCTTCTAGGTGTTTTTTTTTAACTCAACTTTATTATTGTGTGGGTTCTATGAGAACACATGCCATGGCCTCCATACATGTGAAGGGCCACACACATGCCACGGCAGTCAGAAGACAACTCCGTCGTGTTGGTTCTCGACTTCCACCTTCATGTGAGTTCAAAGGATGGAACCCAGACGTCAGGTTTGGTGGCGAGTGCTTTTACCACGAAGCTGAGACATCAAGGACTAAGCTTGACACTTGTCTTGGGTATCAATCTGGTTGAAGAATCGTCAGAGAAATATTTCTCCCAGCTTTGAAGCTGTGAGACAGGTGTGTAATTCCTGTCCTCAGGAGTTCCAAGCCAGCTTGAACTATGAGACCTTGTCTTAAAAAAATAAAGGTTACATATGCGCACTACCTCCGTTTAGGTGGCCCAATACACCAAACTAATGTGCAACTCTATTTCCCTTGTTGGTTGTTAAGGTCTGTGTAGCCTAGGCTGCCCTTACACTTGCAATCTCTCCCACCCCAGGCTCCCAAATGTTGGAATTCCAGGCGAAGTGGCAATACCTGTGTCCCACACCTTGTCTTTGTCCTTTCCACCATCTTGGATAACTTTGTTGCATACCTCATATACCTTATCAGTTTCAAAAGTGAGCCTGCACGGCTGAGGATATGGCTGGCTGGGTTCCATCCACAGCCCTGCAAGGAGAAGAATCTCTTTCTCCTTCTTCAGTATGCCTAGCATCCAGACTTGGCATGCTTCCAGGCTGCCTGTCTGCAGAAGTTACTGATTGTCCTCCTGGCTTCTCTGAACAGCAATTGTGAAGAAGTTGCAGCACACAGGGCAATAACCCCCAGGGAAATAAGTCCAGGGAAAACACGGTTCAGCTGATCCATGGCAGGCCCTTCAGAGGGCTCATCGCTTTTGCTTGTAGGTGGTTTCCCTCCAGGTTCTCGTTCTGTCTAAAAAACGTTGTTTGGCTCCCTGAAATCTGTTTCGTCTAGAATTGTTATTCCTCCTGGCCTGCAGGGGACATGTTCGCTGCACAGTCAAAACCAAGAAGAGGAGACTCCATGCCAAAGTTAAAAGCGCATCAAACACGCCTAGCATTTATTATTTTAGTCACAAACCTACAGACCCCCTCAGTAAACCCTCCTTGGGGCGTGGCCCCAGCACTTTAAAGCTGAAGGCCTTGACTGTAGGTGGCAGAGATGGGGCTTTGTGGGGCTGGCTCTGAAACAGGGGTAGTTCCCCATGTGGAAAATCCTGTGTGGGAGGCAGAGGTCAGGGCTGATCTAGTTTCTGAGTAGGAGGGCTCAATAAAAAAAAACATACAAACAAATGAGGTTTTGCTACCCTTCATCCAGGCTCCTGTCTTTTAGGGGACGTTTCCCCCTTGGGCTGGGAAACAGCCTGGACGTACCCTTCCTTTACCATTTTCTACAAGTTGAAGAGAAGTACTGGAGTAGCATTTTGGGGTGCCTAGACTAGGTCCACACTAATCTCTATCATCTCCCCAAACTGCCCCTCAAGGCAGAAAAGGAAAGATCTCCCAAGGGTAAAGATCTAAATCTCACTCTGAATCTAGAGCTAGAAAGTCAATCCTTAAGATTTCAGTCTGTTCTCTTCCTCAAGAGCAGGGTCAGCACAGAGCCCTCATAGCTCAGGTCCCAGGTTGGTCCCAGGTTAAGGCAGGGAATTTAGGAACCATTCCTTCCTGCTGACTGGAATGCTTGCATGGGATGTTGCTGAAGGTCAGGCTGGGGCTGTGGTGTCTTCATGAGATCCTCCATACCTGAAATACCTGTGCTGGGCTTTTCCTACAGAGGGATGTGTGTCAGAGGAATGGGCTGCATCACACTCTTACTTCGGATCCTTGCCAGAGCAAGGCAGGGGTCATAAGGAAGGGATAGGGCTCAACCCTCCAGGGGTAGGACGCCAGAGTTTTCATTTTTCTTCCTCCAGTGCCAGGGAAAGCTGGCCTGGCAATTCCCAGAGAAGGAATGGAGTAGCATCCTGGCATCTCCTTTCCTTAGGAGACCTGTTTATAAGGGTCCCTAGTGGCCAGGGGCACCACCTTATCCCGACTCCTTCCCTTGCCTAGGCAGGAGTCGGGCCAGGGGCATGGCTGTGATTCTTAGGCTATGAACTGAGTGCTCGCTCGGAGTTCTGTCCTGCCTTCCCCCTCAGAAATACCTGTGCAGGGTGGTTCCTTTGGAAAAGGGGCAGGGCTCCACCTGATTCCTCTCCTTGCCGATTACAGGGTTTGGGCCTAATTGCAACTCCTCTTTCCCCCAGATTTCCTGGACAGGGCAGTCTCACAGGAGTAGGAAAAAAAGGTCTCATTCAGGCTTGTCCTCCTTCCCTGGGTGGGGAAGTCCAAGGGGAGGAGCGAGACCTGATCAGGACTCCTCCTCCATGCTGAAGCTGCTTCGACGGCTGCTGGCCTTGGACACAGCCGGGGATACTGAAGAAAGCAGGGGGTCAGAGGCAGCTCGCAACGGGGACAGGGCACCCCCTGACAGTCCTCCCATCACCCCTTCCTCCTCCATCAGAATGTCCTCTAACCCCAGGTGGAAGGGGTCCCCTAGGTCCCCCAAGTGGTCGCTGGGAAAGTGCAGGTCCAGAAGGGCATCCGAGGGCGGTGCTGGAGGCTGCTGCTGAGGTGTGTTCTGGACAGGTCCCCCTGATACATGAAATGATGCCGTGTTTGGCCTGCCCTCCTCCTCAATGTCCAGCTGCTCTGGCTTGAGGCTGTCAGAGCCGGAACTAGTGGCTAGGGAGAGCAGTCCTGGGGTAGGAGGTACTGGCAGACCATGGATCTGGGCCTGCAGTTCTAGCTCCTGCAAAAAGGAAGGAGTGGGTGAAAAATAAGATGGGGTTCAAAGTCCCTCATAGCTGGAGGAGCGTACTCATTAAAAGGACAGGCTACTAGGTTCCAATGTAGCCTTTGGCCCTCGCTACCTGCAAAGCTTCATGTTTTAAAGTCACTGAGCCCCAGAGTCCCCAGTCTGTAAAATGGTACAACAATGGGTTATCTCACATGGCTGTTTCTGTGAATTAAAATGAGTTAATGGCCGGGTGTTGGTGGCACACGCCTTTAATCCCAGCACTTGGGAGGCAGAGGCAGGTGGTCTCTGTGAGTTCGAGGCCAGCCTGGTCTACAGAGCGAGTTCCAGGACAGCCTCCAAAACAATAGAGAAACCATGTCTCAAAAAACCAAACAAAAAATGAGTTAATGGGCATACAACTCTCGTTACAGTACATGAGAGGAGATAAATGGCATATACATACTACTATTTTTAAAAATTAGACTTTCTCTTTCCTTTTCTTCCCCAGACAGGGTCTCACTATGTAGCCCTGGCTGTCCTGGAACTCACTCTGTAGAGCAGGCTAGCCTTGAGCTCACAGAAATCCTCCTGCCTCTGCCTCCCTGTGGTCTTGCCACCATGCACAACTGAGAATCTGAGAAAATCTCTCTCGCGCCCTCTCTCTCCCCCCCTTCCCCTCTATAGAGGAACTCCTTCTGTAGACCAGACTGGCCTCAAACTCAGACACCCGACTGCCTGCCTCTGCCTCCTGAGTGCTGGCATTAGTGCTGGGATTAGAGGCGTTCGCCGCCACCACCCAGTCAAGTATTTCTTTTTCTTAAGATTGATTTTTCTATGCACGGAAGGTTTGCCTGTATGTATGCATCATGTGTACAGTGCCTGTGGAGGCCAGAAGGGGTTGTCAGATGCCCTGGAACTAGAGCTAGAGATGGCTGTGAACCACCATGACGGTGCTAAAAGCGCCTATTCCCCTGGAAGAGCAGCCGGTGAGCCACTAAACCATCAGCTTCTCATGACGAATATTTTTCGTGTTTTTCGAGACAGGGTTTCTCTGTGTAGCTCTGGCTAACCTGAAACTCACAGAGATCCGCCTGCCTCTGCCTCCTGAGTGCTGGGATTAAAGGCAGGCACCACCCAGCTTCGTTGCTAATTTAAAGCATTTCACTATATAGCTGTGGCCCTTGAACTCACAGATCCACTGGCCTCCTGCCTCTTGAATGGCAGCATTAAAGGTGTGCACCATCATGCCAGGTGTCCTTATTATTCCTGTTAATGGGGTTCTAATTACTTATCACCTCCATCGTCATTTGCACTGTGCCGCCTAAGGGGAAAACTGGCCAGTTTGTGTTCTGCTTCTACCTGCTGGAAGCTGCAGTCACCCTCACTCACCCTTTTCTCCCCCCCAAACCTGAATTCGGAGCTGCAGACTTCGGTTGGCTTGCTCCAGGGAGCGCTGCCGGCTCTCCAGGTCTTTGGAGCGTTGCTGTTCCTTCTGTAATTTGCGGATGTAATCCACAGATGCCTTCAGGATGGTACCCTTGTTCCAGCGCATCTCCCTGTGGGGCCCGAGAGGGAGGAAAGAGCGAGGACTGCATATGACGTCTCTCGGGGGGGGGCTGTACCAGGTGCACATGTCAGAACTTGAGGTAAACCAAAGTGTTAGAATGCTCACAAAAACCTCTACGCTTGTAATCTTCCACTGGTGGCCATTATGCCCCCAAACCTGGAAGCCCTCTTGTAACTTGACCCCTTCTGGCCCCCCCACACACACACTATAGCCAAGGTTGGCCTCTTAGTGTTAACACGGGAAACTATTCTCACCTCAGACTCTACTTGGATACAAGCCTTCACTCAGAGCACTCTCCCTCCACCATGTGGCCTCCTTAATCTTGACGGTCCCTCCTGTCAGTGCTAGGGAAGCTCGCACGCTGGAGGCACTGGCCTTAGCTATACGCACAGCTCCATGTTTAGGCTTTCCACTCAAGTGTTTCCTCGTCAGCCAAGACCTGCTCCATCCTACACTCCTCACAGCCAGCTTTCCAACATTCGTTCATTTTCTGTGGTTTTTAAAGTTTTATTGACATCTATTTATTTTTGTTTTGCGTATAGGTGTTTTGCCTGCATGTATGTGTGAATACCAATAGTGCCTGCCCATTGCCCATGGGGGCCAGAAACCGGTATCGGATCCCCTGGAACTAGAGTCACAGACCCCGTGTGGGTGCTGGGAATCAAACCCGGATCTTCTGGAAAAGCCGTCTTCAGCCTCACTGTGTTCTTTCTGTTGTTTGGAGGCTAGCCTTAAAGTGTAAATCCTCCTGCCTCAGACTGCTGAATGCTGGGGGGGGGGGGGGAACGACAGGCCCTGTTCATTTTACTCCACAACCCTCATTAGAAAGTATGTCATGGATTTTCTTTTTTTTTTTCTTGGTTTTTTTTTTGTGTAACAGTCCTGGCTGTCCTGGAACTCACTCTGTAGACCAGGCTGGCCTCGAACTCACGGACATCTGCCTGCCTCTGCCTCCTGAATGCTGGGATTAAAGGCATGCGCCTGGCAGGATTCTACTTGTCTTAAGTGTCTACTTGTCCCAAGGAAAGCATCAGATCCAAGAGGACAAGGACCTTTTCCTTTTCCCTTCCCCCCGGGTATCCTCAGAGCCTAGCAGAGTATCTGGTGCCAAGCAAAGGCCCAGTAACTAAATCTTGAGTAAGCAAAAGAAGTACTAAATGAATAGAACACTTGTGTTCCATAGGGTGCTGACAGGACAAACTAACATTTATAGTCTGAGGGTCTACAATCCCTAAGAAAAGACAGAGCTCTTTCCAGGGGTGGTATTGTTTTTTTTTTGGTGCAGAGTCTCACTATGTAGCCCAGGGTTGTCTAGAACTTACTATGTAGCCCAGGCTGGCCTTGAACTCTTGGCAATCCTCCTGCCCCAGCTCCCGAGTGCTGGGCTTACAGGTATGAGCTTCAGCATGTGGCTGAGAGAACTTTTGTGTGGGCAAGGCTATATGGTAGACACACCAAGGAACAACTTGCGTGGTCCAGGGCGTCTGTTCCACCTCCCATTGGCCTGGGGTCCCCAGCCCAGACTCACGGATCATTGGACTTGGGGATGAGGGTGCCCAGCTCTTTGATCCTATCGTTAATGTTGAATCGCCTGCGTCGTTCAACTTTCAAGAGAGGGGAGAGAAAGAAAGAGTAGGACAGTCATCCATGGGTGAGAGAAGCGGGAGGAGCAGGGGTGCTGGGAGGCTCCCCATGGAAGGCGGCCCTTGAAGCAAGGAGCAGGCAGGGCTGAGTGGCGGGTGGGCAAGTGCGCCTGCTCTCGGGCTTACTTAGGTTGTGATTGTCTTTCTTCTGTCGCTCCTTCAAAAGGGCCTTTGCCTCGGTTTCTGGAAGAGAGTGAGGGTGGATATCAGGGCTTCTGGGTACAGGAAGCAGAGTCCCTGAAGAAGCAGAGGTAGGGGCTAATGGGAGAGGGGTGGAAAGTGGGACTGTTTTAGAGATCGGGTCTTGCCTTGTTGTCCAGGCTGGCCTTGAATACCTGACTTGAAGCCATCCCCCTTCTCAGTCTCCAGATTAGCTGCAACTACAGAGTTTGGCCACAGAGCCAGACTTGGAGTGATTTTTTTTACAGTAGACTCATTTATTTTTATTTTCTGTGCATGGGTGCTTTGCCTTCATGTGTGAATGCCTATCGCATGCATGCCTGGCACCCAAGGGAGTCAGAAGAGGGCACTGCGTCCCTTGGAGTTTGAGCTACAGACAGTTGTGAACCACGTGGGAATCAAACCCAGGTCCTCTGGAAGAGCGGCCAGTGCTTTCAACTGCTGAGCCTGGCGACGACAACGGTAACAATGACGATGATAAAGATGACTACTTCAACAACTTCTTCCTTCCCTTCTTTTTCTTCCTTCTTCTTTCTTCTTCCTTCTTCTTTTTTTAAAAAACGGGGTCTCAGTATATAGCTCATACTGGCCTTACACCTTCCAAGTGCTGGGACCACAATCATGCACCACCATTCCTGTCGACTGCTTTAAAAGATGTCTTGAGCCAGGCATGGTAGTTCATGCCTATAATACCAGCATTGTGAAGGAGAGGCAGGAAGATCGCTCCAAGTTCAACGCCAGCCTGGGCTATATAGGGAGCTCCAGAGCTGGGCATTTGTGCATAGCTCTGTAATTTCAGCACTCAGGAGGCTGAGGCAAAAGGACTGCCGGGAATCTCAGGTCAGCCTAGGCTACAGAGTGAATCTATGTCTCATAAAAATAAAATGTCTCTCTTTGCTATTTTTCTATGAAACCATGGTGGCAAAGGCCTTCTGTCACACGCAAGATAGAGGAAGTCAGAGAGAAAATGAGGAGAAGTAGGATCAAGAGCCATAGGAGGGAAAAAGCAGGGGGCACTTGGTTTTGTTTCTCTTCTCTGTGGTGCTTGGGATCGAACCTAGGGTCTTGCAGATGCTAAGCTACCCTGCCAACCCCAGCCTCAACCTGTTTCTGTAAAGCTCAAATGTTCTCCCTAGAATCAGGTCTAGCACCAGACCTGGCAGTGACAGGGCTTGGCTCAAGGGACAGGGTAGGGTACAGGGCCAAGACCCTAGCACTTACCAGAAATCTCCCGTTTGATGTTAGGCAGCTCAGCAGGACAGGAATTGCTGACAGTGATGGCTGGTGTGGCCACTCCTTGGTTGCTGTACACATCAAGCAGGTTCCCTGACACAGGCAGCTGTGGACGGCAAAGGCATAGAGCAGCTTCCTCACACTCAGGCTCCTGACCCTTGCATATTAAAAAGGCAGAGCCCCCAGTGGGGTGGTGGCGGCAGCACATGCCTTTAATGCCAGCACTCTTGAGGCAGAGGCAGGTGGATCTCTGTGAGTTCCAGGTGAGGCCTGCCTGATCTACAGAGCAAGTTCCAGGACAGGCTCAAAGCTACACAGAGAAACCCTGTCTTGAATAACCAAAAAAAAAAAAAGTCAGAACCCCCTAGTGCAAGGCCTGAGAATTCCAGAGGATCCCTTCTCCTTCAGGAAGGTTCCACATGGCACTTAACAGCGGGAACAGAACCAAGTGAACTTTCTCTGATTTGGGTCCGCCCACCCAGTCCTTCAGTGGCCTCTGAAGCTCTACTCCAAGACAACTCTAGGACTGGCTCAGAGAAGAAAAATGCTGGAAAATCACAGCGCTCAGGTCTCTGTCAGCTCTGATCTGACATTCCAGGCCATTAGCTGCTTCCAGCACAGCATTCCAATCCAGCATTCTTGGAACACTCCAACTCAATCTGTTCAGACCTTGGTAAATTATCATGGCAACATACCACTCCAAATCTGGCTTTCTGGAGAGTTCCACCCGAATCCCCAACCTTAAGTGTGATGACTACCTTAAAAACCATGAGCTCGCCGGGCAGTGGTGGCGCACGCCTTTAATCCCAGCACTCATCCCAGCACTTGGGAGGCAGAGGCAGGTGGATCTCTGTGAGTTCGAGGCCGGGGTTGGACCGATAGCCTCCAAAACAATACAGAGAAACCCTGTCTCGTAAAAAAAAAACATGAGCTCCTACTGGTCGTTTACCAAGGTTGTGACTCTGGCCACCCACACATTCTGGTACCTCTGGTGGTCTAGTCTATTTCAGAACTCAAAGTGCTGCTTTTATACCAGCCTAGTTTTTGTCTTTCTCTCTTACGAGCCTATCTAGAATCTGGTGCAACACACTCAGATAGAAGTGTATCCAGTCCTGACCTTGATGAGCTGTCATAGAATGAAACCCTTTTGAGGCTTTCGGATCTGACTCGTAACCTCTAGTTGTGTCCAAAGCAGTGAAGTTATGAAAATGTGGAACTTTTTGTGTGTGTGGTACTGAGGACAGAACCTAGGACCTCACCACAGGCTAGGCAAGCACTCTGCTCAGCTGCATCCCCAGCCCCGAACCATTAGCATCTTTATACAAGGTTCTACCCTCTTGGTATATTGGGAAAAGCTATGTGATACCTTGCCAAGGCAAGGTATGGGATTCTTTGAATGTTCCAGAATCACATTGTTATGATGGCAGATCTAGTGCTCTGGAAAGTTTTGTCAATTTTACAGGGATCCAGCTTCTTGGCCCAATTCATTGCAAGGGACTTGCTACATTCCAAATAGTACAAGGCCCAACCACTTGTTATAACCCAATCACTACGCAGAAGTATTGAATTCATCGGAACACTCAAAACTGCTACATTATTCCCACTTCTTGGTACTCAGCAGAGCACAGCCCAAGTGCCCAGATAATAGTATGTCTATAAACTCCCCAAACTGTATGACTCTACCAGGGTCACCTCTCCATGAAGTCCAACAAAGACCCAAGGGCAGCGGTGGGCCTAAGCCCCATTGTCAATGTAAGGCCTTGCTCTCTACGTTAGCATAATGCCTGGCAGGGGTCACTCATATATACACACAGCCAGTGCAGGTGTGGTCTTGGTGACAGAAGAATGCCCTAACTTTTAGACCACCTCCCTTCTTAGGGCCTCACCGTGCTGGGAAGTTGCAGCCCTGCAGTGCCTCCAGGAAGATAGCTGAGCATCTCATCGTTGTAACTGGACTCTAGGCTGATGATCTCATCAATGACATCATCAATCTGGGGGAAAAAGTAAATACTGTACAGGGTTACAAGAACTGGGAGGGGTGTCTGGGGTGTCTGGGGGTGGGAGTAGCTTAATGGTAGAGTGCTGGCCTAGCGTGTGCAAAGGCCCTGGGTTCTGTTCCCAGCACCCACACACACACACACACATATACACATACACACACACACACACACACACACACACACTAATAAAACTGGACGAAGGGCATACAGGAAGGTTATCTACAGACTCTTACCTCCTTCTCTGAGCTGGACCCAATGGTGAGCAGCGCCATGGGGCTGTTAGGAGCACTGCCTGTAGGGCCAGTGGCATGGGCAGTTTCAGGGGCAGGAAGTGGCTGGGCACTGGCAGGCCCCGGTGGCGGGGTGAGGGCCTGGGAAGCCAGCTTGGGCCCAAGTGTGGTAGACAAGTACTGTTTCACCTGCTGCCGGCGGGCTTGCTGCAGGTGGTAGCGTGTGGGGTTCTCCAGGTGGGTCTGAACCTATGAAATGAAAGATGAAGGGAACAAAAGAGCTCAGAGGAATAGCTACGCCCCAGCCTGGTCCTATAACTCGACTCTTTTTAGGCTCATGTGAACAAACTAGGCCTGGAATTTGAGAACATCTCAAAAATATTAGTGAATCTGCCAAGACCCTAAACTTCTTTTCCCAGAAGTCCTTAAGAACCTCCAAATTCCACCCAGGCTAATAAGTTCTCTCAGTTTCTAGATGACCTAGTCCGAGCCCTCAGAGCTCCCTGATAAGTATCTGATACCATGCAACAGAACCAGGAACTAACTATCCCACATATGCCTTCCCTACATATCCTCACAGGTGCAGAAGAAAACCTAAGAGACCACCAACACATAGGACCCAAGCACAGACCATTTAGACGCTATGATGACCTGCTCCTAGAACCACATGGTCCCTGTCCAAAAGCCACTGTGACCCCAGGACCACTTCTCAGTCACTGACTCCCAGAGCTTCCGGATCTGTCCTTACCTTGAGCACCTCCCTGGGCACCTGGGCAGGAGGTGGACGACCCAGTGTGTGGCCGCCAGCAGACACACCAATCACAGAGATGGCTGGTGAGGCGGGCGCAGGGCTGGGGAAGGAAGCAGCTGCTGCCTGTTCCTGCCGCTCACGCCTCTCCTGCTCCTGTGCCTGGGCCCGCATCAGCTGCTGCCGCAGCAACACCCGCGATGAAGACGAGGACATGGCAGGGGTCCTGGAGCCCCCTGCAGAAGACGATGCAGAGAGTGTAGCTGGGGCGGTTGCTGTGGCCTGTAGTGATATTGGGAGGCTGCGGAATGGGAAATATGGGGCCACAGGTAAGCTCGACGTTTCTTTCCAAGCCTAAGGAGCAGACTGTGCTGGACTCCATCCAGAAGCAGACTTGTTCTCTGTGTTCCCAGACCACAATGTGTGGGTGGGAGACACAGGTACCAGGCCTGCCTGTGGGCCTCAGGAGACGCGGGGACCAGACACATTTCTATCACCCAAGAGGTCACAGTCTGGCCAATTCCTCCAGGGGAAATAGATTGTAGCCTTCAGCCTTAAAGGCGAGGCCTCAGTTGGAGCAGGTTCACAGAGTGAGTGCAGAAGCTGGACTCTAATAAAAGGAGTGTTTACTAAAAAGGTGAGCTCAAGTGACCGCTGGCTGAACAGGGGTAACGTGCTAAACCTAATCTGGAGCTCCGGAAGTGGGCATCAGGCTCCAGGAGCCCAGACTCCATTTCCTCCCTGGCCAGGGTTCGGCTGCCAGGAGCTCGTCAGTTTTGAAAATCTGGGAGGTTTCACAATCCTCTCTTCCTGCCCCTCTTCCAGGTCCCCTCCCCTCTCTTAGAGCCCAGGCCGATGACTCAGCACATTTAGACTTCCACCCACCAGCCTGGGCGCTCAAGAGCTGAGGGAGGGTGGGTTTTCCAGGTGTGAGGAGGGCTGAGCAGGGGCAGCACGGTCCTACCCACGGGAGGACGGGAGATTAGGAAGGCCACGCCCATCCAAGCAGCCAGGCCGGTAGGAAGCTCCGTGTTGTGTGCCTTGAGTTCGGGATACAAGACAGGGTAGGGAAAGGGCAGGCCAGAGGCGCACGGACTTGTCCACCTGCTCTCCTCCTCCGTGCTTCTAATCTCCGCACTGGGAAAGTAACCGCTACTGAGAAGGGGAGAATGGGCTGGGTGAGCTCAGTGGGGAGGAGGGCTGGGAGAAGGGTCGGTTAGGCCAGGCCTACCTGGAGCGGAGGGGTAGAGGCTGGCTTTTGAGCTCGTAGAAGCTGTCAGGATCAAGGATGTTTTCTAATTCGATGTCAGCAACAATCCCGGATTCCGGAAGCAAAGAATTCAGGCTGAGGGTGGGAGGGAGGAAGGAGCTCTAATACCCTCCCTTCCCTAGACACCCAGGCGGGCTCTCAAACACACAAGGGCACTGCCACGAAGTCCCATATCCTTTATCTCTTCCTACTTCTTACTGCTACCCACAGGCTCTTAAGGATCAGAACAATAAAAATGCCTGGATCCCAACTCTCTCCAGCAATCACAACCTGGGTTTAAGGGGGGGGGCAAGAGGTCTTTGGGAATGACAATTCACTTTGTGTAAGGACTCCAGGCTTTGCATTCAGAGTTTTCCCAGCCCCCACACCCCCTGCTGTTTTGCCGACAGCTGAATGTGAACCTCTGTCTGTATACATGCACACAGAGCAAGTAAGGGCACCCCTTCGCCTAAGAGTCCATTGTAACAGAAACTGAATGCATCACAAAGAGAGCTGGGCGCCTTCCTTTACTTAGCTTCGGGAGTTACCACTCTGCAAAGAGTTCTTCCAGCCCGAGCCAGAGTTCACAGGCCGCTGATCCCCATCCAAATACAAGAATGGAAATAGGAAAGGCTCCCCTCACTCCACCAGTAAGCATCTTCAAAGAGAGAATCTGAGTGCACAATCTGCCTTGCAAGAGGAGCATCATTCTTAGCTAGAACAAACTGCCCAGCCTCCTACTTTTTAGATAGATCAAAACACACACCCGTTTTCAGTGTCAACATCCACTGACACACAAAACAAGCTGCGTCTCAAAATGAAGGAAGAAAGCTGAGGTCAGCCTCACTATATAGGGAGGCTTCATCTCAAATTGAAAAAACCCACAGGAGCTGGGAGCTGGGGTTTGCCTACCCTGTAAGAGCCCTGAGTTCCACCCACAGCGCTGCAACAAAGCAATAGCCATCTCCCCCATTTACTTGTGCCCACTACTGTGGTCATCTAGGAATTTAGATGGTCCTGCTCAGTCCTTCCTGCTAAATATAAAGGACCCTAGTGTCTGGGCCGAAAACATCCACTTGGGTTAATATGTACCCTCGCTGAAAGTGTATAGGTCAGGGGTGCAACGGTTGCCTATCTATCAAGTGCGAAGGCCCGGGTTCCACCCACCGCATCCCCAATAACATGCAGCCTTAAGTTTAGTCAACTTTAGAATCCACGAAGACTGTGACTGTGATTGGTAAGAAGTCTCTCCCCTGCCCAACAATAGTCTTCCTTCCCCTCCTTGCCCACAGATGGGGCTCGAAAAGCACCCAGGAAGTTGGGAAGAGGAAGCTCTGAGAGTAGCTAAGTTCAGCACAATCCCAGGCAGAAAACAGGCAGCCCCCTCCCACACTCCCACACCACACTGCACAGAAGTGGGGAAAATGGGTGTCGGGAACGGCAAGGTTGTGTGGACAAGGAACGGCTGGAGTTTCAAAGCGAGGCTCATGGAAGAGGATGAGAAGAGAGACGGAGGACCCACCCAGACAGGCATGGTGCAATCGGTACTCACTCCAGCTCTAGAGACTGATTACACCCGGGAACTGAGAGACGGGCTGGGAGGGCGAAATAAAAGGAAGAGGGGGGTGTGTGGGTAGGGAGTGGGCAGGGCTGACTGAGAGGCTAGGGTGAGTGGCAGCAGAAACAAGACCCTCCTCTGAGTTCCCAAATAAGGTTTGAGGCCTCCCCCTCCTTCGGCTAAGAGTGAAGTATCTATCCAGTCTGCCCTGCTGCCTCGCATTTAAGCTATTACTCGAATAGGCAAGAGGGGTTGCTACTATCCGGCATTTTTATACAGACTGGGCGGGGGTGGGGGGGGGACTGGACGGGACGGGACGCAGCAGTGAATCGACTGGGCCGATCAAGTTGCTTCGCTCCATTACACACACACACACACACACGGCACATCTAAGACTCCCCCCCCCCCCAGCCCCTCCAAATTCATGTTATTCTCAAACACAGCACCGACTACTGAGACTCACTAAGTGCCCCAAATAGCACCTCTGCCTCCCAGGATTCTTTCTCCCACACTGAACGAAAAAGATCCCGGGATTTCCTTAAAATCAGTGCCTCGCCTAACAGTGTGCCCTCAAATTCATCCCTCTGTGACCGGCTCAACAATTCCAAATTCAGCTTCTAATCTGTTTCCCAAGTTTCGCTGCCTCACACCAGTTTCGGTATACTCCCCAATCTGCCTCGTTAGAGCCTGGAAAGAACCCCCAAATATTACCGAGCCCTCCTCAACGCACTCCCACTACTTTTAGCTACAGTCTAAGCGGGTCAGTACCAGATTTCTGAGGTGCCCACCCAAGATGGGCACCCCGACGTCCTTCAAGCCTAGGCCAAGAGTCTCCGGGGCCCCCAATGTCCCAAGATGAGTCCCCAGGGAACCTCACTTGTCACTCCCGGCCCCAGGTGGCCCCGCACCTGAGCAGCTGGGCCGAGTCGGCCGGCCTGCGCTCTTCCAACAGCACGAACACGGCTCGAGGACCCTCCGCGCTGGCCTCTACGCCGTCCCGAGCTGGCTCGGCTGCATGAGACATGACGCCCGGCACCGGGCGAGCCCTGCCAGGCCGGTCGGGCCTTGGCCCGGTCCCCCTAACAAAATAAGAGTCCCCCTCCCCCCGCTCGCCACTGCCTCCTCCGTTAAGCCATGGAGCTAGCTCTGCGCGGGCGGGCGGCGTCGGGAAGATGGGATGGGCCGTGAGTCATCACCCGCCCTGAACGGACCGACACCCCCCAATCTAACCCCGGACGACCGCTTGTCTCCCCCTCGTCCTCTTCCCCCTCCTCCCTGGACTGGGGAAACTCCACAGGAAGTGACCACACTGGGGATGGAAGTCTAGTTGGGCTGCCTCCTGAGCAAGGCAGCCAATTGCTACTGGGAGATTCGAGGGCCCGCCCTAAGCCACGACTTCGAGGCGTTGGGAACACCGGGTTTGCACCGCCCTTCGGAGAAGGGAGCCCTTAGGCCACGCCCTCGGCGACGGAAGCAAATAGGCGAGGAGTGATTTGGTTGAGCCACGCCTGCATTTTTGCGTAGCTTCCTGAGCCACACCCCCTCCTCTCTAATTATCTACACCATCCCTACACCTCCCCAGCCCCAACCCCCATCCCCAGCGAGGTACTAAACTGAGTCTTGGGTTTTCTGCTCCTGCTTGGAAAGTCTGCACGCCAAGCTTTAAGCGGAACCGCGCCGGCTCTTAGCCCAGGATCGTCCCAGACCGCACTCCAACTTCTTTGTACCCCTGTCTTCTCAAGCCACTATGTAACTGAGGCAGAAGCAACACCAGTCCTTGAAGATGGTGCTTTAACTTTACCCTTTCGGTGCCTGCAGTCCAGTCACGGAGCTGGTCCTCCTGAGAGAGCTCAGCCTGTTTTATTATCTAAAGTATTTATTGTACTATGATCGCTGTACTACGCAATAGACGGTTAATGAATCTTTTGACAGATGGATGAATGAGTGGATGGATGGTAATTAGGTCTGGTTTCCAATGAACGACTTCTGTAATCATAACGAACTATTTCAATAATGGAGGGGACCTGCTCCACTCAGTGCCTCCACTTTCCTGCCCTGTTAATGGGGGCCATAATGTGGGTCAGCACAGTTATGAGGATTAGGGATAAATAGTGAAAAACACTGGCTTGCTGTTTTGCATACAATAATTTCTCCGAAATTAATCGATTCGCTCACTTGTTCACTTCTCCAGAATTTCGGAGGTGCCTGTGCGGGACGGATAATTGCAAGGTGGCATCCATACTGTCAGTTACACAAAACACTGAGTCCATCTTACTGCTTCCCAACATCCCAGGACCATCAGTTGGATCGTGAGAACAGAACACTAAAGTGGGTGTGGGAGTAGGCGGGAGTAGTCTGTAATCACAGTACCAGGAAAATGAAAGCCGGGAGAATCAGACTTTCAAGGTCATCCTTAGCTACACAGTAAGTTGGAACTGATGGTCTTGAGATACAAGCAATCTTGTCGCAAAGAAAAAGACAAGAAGATTCACTGGACTTACAATTCGTGATATTTCCCAGTGCCTCACTTGGTTTTAAAAACTAGTACATTTCTGCACACACATAACCATCTCACACTGAGGAACCCTCTCCAGAAAAAAAGATTACAGTCTTAAGTTATTTTTGAAGAGTTGGCTTGGTTTGGTTTGGTTTGAGACAGGATCCACTTTTGTAGCCCTAGCTGGCCTAGAACTCACTATGTAAAGCACACTGGCCTTGAAGTCACAGAAATCTGACTGCCTCTTACTCTCCAGAGCTGGGATCAAAGAGCAAGTACCACTCCCACCACTACTCCAGGATACTCTTTTTTTAATATTTATTTATTTATTTATTTATTTATTTATTTATGGGTTATGTGTGTGCCTACAGGTATGTATTTGAACCATGTACATGCAAAAGTCTTTGGAGGGAGCCGGGCATTGGTGGCACATGCCTTTAATCCCAGCACTCGGGAGGCAGAGGCAGGTGGATCTCTGTGAGTTCGAGGCCAGCCTGGTCTACAGAGCGAGTTCCAGGACAGCCTCCAAAACAATACAGAGAAACCCTGTCTCGAAAAACCAAAATTGAAAAGTCTTTGGAGGTCAGAAGAGGGCACTGGATGCCCTGGAATTGGAGTTGCAGGTGGCTGTTAGCCTTCATGTAGATACTGGTAATCAGAACCTAGTCAGGTGGTGCTGATGCATGCTTTTAATCCCAGCACTTGGGAGGCAGAGACAGGCGGATCTCAGTGAGTTCGAGACCACCTTGGTCTATAGAGCAAGTTCCAGGACAGCCTCTAAAGCTATAGAGAAACCCTGTCTCGAAAAACCAAAGCCAAACCAAGCCAAAACAATACAAAAATCAGAACCTGGGTACTCTATATGAGCAGCAAATGCTCCTAACCATTGATTGATTTCTCTATCCTTTATTATTATTCTGTTAGGTATATTTTCTATGTATGAGTGTTTCCCCTGCATATGGGCATGTGTACCATGAGCATGCAGGTGCTAGGATTTCTGGAAGAGCAACCATATTCTTAACTGCTGAGCCATCTTCTCCAGCACCAGGAAGAGACATTGTAATATTGTTTTTTGTTTGTTTGCTTGCTTGCTTTGTTTTTTGGTCTTTTGACACAGGGTTTCTTTGTGCAGCATTGGCTGTCCTGGAACCTGGAATTAGCTTTGTTACCAGGTTGGTCTCAAATTCACAGAGATCAGCTTGTCTCTGCTTCCAAGTGCTGGGACTAAAAGCATGTGCCACTGGCACCTGGCTTGTAACTTTTAAAATTTCTTTTTAAACATTCTCTCTCTCTCTCTCTCTCTCTCTCTCTCTCTCTGAGACAGGGTTTCTCTGTGTAAAATCCTTGGCTGTCCTGGAACTCGCTCTGTAGACCAGGCTGGCCTCAAACTCTCCTCCTGTCTCTACCTCCTAAGTGCTGGGATTAAAGACGTATGCCACCACCACCCGGCCCAATTTTTTTTTATTCTTGAGAATTGTATATAGTTTGATAATTTTGCTTTTTGTATTTATGTCTTGAACCAATTTGTATCTGAATGGTCTAAGTGTAAATCCCTTAAGCCAGGCATAGTGGTGTGCTTGTGCAATTCCAGTACTCAGGAGGATGAGGTAGAAGGAACACAAGTTTGAGGTCAGCCTAGACTACAAAATAGTATCCTGTCTCAAAAATAAAAATATAAGGGGGCTGGAAAGCTGGCTAAGCGGATAAGAGCACCTGCTGCACTTGCAAAGGTCCAGGGTTCAATTCCCAACAAGCACAGGATAGCTCACTGTCATTTGTAACTCTGATTCCAAGAGCACCCTCTTCTGGTCTTAATGAACATCAGGCACAGATGGTACACCAACATTCACGCAGACAAAATACCCATTGGATACACATAAAATAAAACTAGTAATAAAAGTTTAAAGACAGCGTCTCCTCTTCATCCTTTTTTTTTTTTTTTTTTTTGGTTTTTCGAGACAGGGTTTCCTTGTGGCTTTTGGAGGCTGTCCTGGAACTCGCTCGGTAGACCAGGCTGGTCTCGAACTCACAGTGATGCGCCTGCCTCTGCCTCCCGAGTGCTGGGATTAAAGGCGTGAGCCACCAACGCCCGGCCTCCTCTTCATCCTTAAACATGCTAGAATACAATGTTTTGGGGGGTAAAGGGTTGAGACATGGTCTCACTATATAGCCCTGGCTGTCCTGGAACTTGTATTTAAATCAGACTGACCTCAAATTCATAGAGACCCACCTGCCCTCTGTCTCCCCAGTGCTGGGACTAAAGCATGAGTCACCATACCTCTCTAGAACAATTTTTGAAGAATATGTTTAAAGCTTCCAGTAGGAAAAAGAAACATGGGGCCTTGTGCAAAGACTGCAAAGGGCAGCCTCATTGGGAGCTCATGTAGCCTGTTGCCTATATGGGTTGCCCTAAGGGAACTTCCTTGGAGACAATTTTCCAATGTCTTTTCATGTTTCTGATTTCAGTGGCTATCTCCAGTCTAGGATCCAGGCATGTGTATGTGGGTGCTTTGGGGAAGTTCTAGGTCATCAAGTTACATAATAGGGAATAAGAGATTGAGGCTCTACATAGAGTCAAGTTACCTTGTTGCTAGATTACCTCAAATAAGTGGGGCATCTATGTCTAATGCAGATGAATTTGAAGACATGCTATCTGAGAAGTGACTCATCCCTTCTGTCTATGAGATCAAATATACTCCCAATCATGGTCCCCTGGACAAGTGGAGAGCCTTGTTCTCATGAGAGTTTAAACTGTGCTCTCCCACAACTCAACAGAATCTTGTTCAGTGATAAACATCACACCCTGTCTGGGAAAAGAACAGAAAATGTCCAGGCGTTGGTGGCACAGGCCTTTAATCCCAGTACGTGGGATGCAGAGTCAGATGCATCTCTGAATTTGAGGCCAGCCTGGTTACAAAGTAAGTTCCAGGACAGACAGAGCTACATAGAGAAACCCTGTCTTGAAAAACCACTGAAAGATATAAACAAAAGCAACAAGAGTTGATACTGATTGGTCCTCCTCTTGACAATTCCCCTGTATTTTTATGTGCAATGTTGTTTTGCCTGCATGTGTGTCTGTGTGAGGGTGTTGGATTTACAGACAGGTGTGAGTTGCTATGTGGCTACTGGGGATTGAACCCGGGTCCCCTGGAACAGTAGCCAGTGCTCTTAACTGACAAGCCATCTCTCCAGCCCCACTTTCCCTATATTCATTTATTTTCATCCTTACACTAATTCTGAGAAGGGTTCTAAACATTATTGTATCATACACACACACACACACATAACCTCAAGGTACAGCTAGGTGAAGTCACTTGCTCTGAGGTTACCTAGTTCATCAAGCCTGGGATTTGAGCATTCTCCCCCTGCCTGTCCTCCAGTCTTTCCATAGATGGCTCTATGCCATGCCCAGATAGAAAACTACAATCTGGCCAGGCAGTGGTGGCACATGCTTTTAGTCCCAGAACTTGGGAGGTAGAGGCAGGTGGATCTCTGTGAGTTCGAGGCCAGTCTGGTCTACAAAATGAGTTCCAGGATGGCCAGAACTGTTACACAGAGAAACCTAGTCTCAGGAAAAACAGAAAAAAGAAAAAAAAGGTACAGTCTGAACCAGAAGAGGTGATTCATCCCTGTGGCCCCAACTGTTCAGGAGGCTGAAGCAAAAGGATTACTTGAGGTCAAGAGTATGGGCCTAGCCAGACATTGGTGGCGCACGCCTTTAATCCCAGCACTCGGGAGGCAGAGGCAGGCGGATCTCTGTGAGTTCGAGACCAGCCTGGACTACCAAGCGAGTTCCAGGACAGCCTCCAAAGCCACAGAGAAACCCTGTCTTGAAAAACCAAAAAAAAAAAAAAAAAGAGTATGGCCTAGCCTGGGCAACATAGTCAAGACTTTATCTCAAAAATAAATAAGCTAGGGCAGAGGCAGGCGGATCTCTGTGAGTTCGAGGCCAGCCTGGTCTACAAGAGCTGGTTCCAGGACAGCCTCCAAAGCCACAGAGAAACCCTGTCTCGAAAAACCAAACAAACAAACAAATAAATAAATAAATAAATAAATAAATAAATAAATAAGCTAGATGTGGTGGCGCACACTAAACTCAGCACTCAGGAGGCAGAGACAGGCGGATCTCTATGAGTTCTAGGCCAGTCTGGTCTACATAATGAGTTCCAGGACAGCCAAGCCAATGTAGAGAGAACCTGTCTCAAAAAAAACAAAAAACAAAAACAAGGAGCAAACAAAGCAAAACATGATCTGATGAAAAGATGCAACAGTGTGCAAAAACTTTTGACAGACTGAAACCTACTATTTACAGATCATTCTGTCACACCCCCACTGTTACAAGCACCAGCTTCCTAGATCTATCTCAAATGTCTCCATAAGTGCTTTCCTGAGGCATACCTTGCAGAACACACCTACTATTCCTTCTCAGTTTCTTACTCTCTCGCCCTCAACCCTCCTCGACAGTCCCAGTTCTCTTTCCTCTCTGATGTAACAGGGGTTTCATTATGAAAAGACTTGGGACCAGTGAAAGGGCCGATGTGGAGGGCAGAGGGGAGCAGTTAGGGGTAAGACATAAACCTCATGACCAAGGGTGGGTGAGGCTGAGATATCTGACGGGCCACCATGTAACTGAATGATCCTGTAAGGATAGGAAATGGACAACTGAGGCAATTTCAGAACAAATTGGGAATCCATGGGGGCAGACTGAAAATATAACTGGAAGATCAGGGCACCAAAGAAGACAGTACGTATTTATGGTAGAGTTGTAAGATAACTGAAGATTATAGCAACTGCCTTCCCAAAGTTAATCTTGTCTTAACCCATGAATGTTTTCTTCTTTTGCTTTCCTTCCATCATTTCTTTTTTTTGAAATAGGGTCTCACTTTGTATACCTGGCAGGCCTGGAATTTGTTAAGTAGACTTCCAGGTTGGCCTTGAACTCATAAGAGATCCACCTGCTTCTGTCTCCCCAGTGGCCATGATTAGAGGTGTGTGCCATCACACTCTGTACCTTTTGAGAAAACATTTATTTATTGTGTGTATATGTTGTATATGTTTGCATATGCATCATAAGAGGTCAGAGAACAACTTCAAGCAGTCAGTCATCTCCTACCTTTATGTGAGTTTGGGGCATTTAAATCAGGTCTTCAGGCTTGGCGGCAAGGGCTATCACCCACTGAGACACCCACTGCCCCTCATGAATGTTATATAACAATGAGAGAGATGAAGCAAGGGAGCAAACATGAAAGCTACACCAAGGAGTGGGTGTGAGAGCGTGAGAAGGGCTTTGTAAATGTGACTAAATCAGAGGGTTATCTGTCTGTCTGTCTATCTATCTATCTATCTATCTATCTATCTGAAGGTCATACTGCATAGCTCCAGTTGGAACTCTCTATGTAGACAAGGCTGGCCTCAAACTCATGGAGATCCATTTACCTTTGCCTCTCCAGTGCTGAGATTGAAGGTGTGCACTCCTACAGCTGCTTTTGAAAAAATCAGGGTCTTGCTGTGTTATCAGGGCTGTCTTCAAAGTCCCGTGCTTAAGTGATCCGTAGCATCAGTCTCCATCAATCTCCTGAGTAGCTAGACTTCCAGGCAGACATTAGCACTGTTAGTTTCTAAATGAAAGATTTTGAAATGGGTACACTATTCTGGATTATCCAAATAGACCCTAATTGTAACCACAAGTGTTTTTATTTGCTTGTTTGTTTATGAGACAGGCTTTCTCTGTGTAACAGTACTAGCTGTCCTAGAACTCACTCTGTAGACCAGGCTGGTCTCAAACTCACAGAGATTTGCCTGCCTCTGCCTCTTGAGTGCTGGGATTAAAGGCGTGCGCCACACCACCTGGCTACAGGTGTTTTCATGAATGGTAGGTGAAGTATATCTGACAGAGAGGAAGTGATGTAACAGTGGGAACAGAGATTGGGGTGAGATGGCTACAAGCCAAGGAATGCCAGCAGCCACCAGAAGCTGGAAGAATCAAAGACGACATTTTTGTCTTACAGAGACCAGAACAGCTTTGGTAACACCTTGATTTTGGCTCAGTGGAACTGATTTTAGACTTCTAGTTCCCAGAACTGTAAAAGACTAGATTTCCAAACTTCTGTTATCTTTTTTTTCAAGATTTATTTATTTATTACATATACACCAGATTGAATTGTAGATGGTTGTGAGCCACCATGTGGTTGCTGGGAATTGAACTCAGGACCTCTGGAAGAGCAGGCAGTGCTCTTAACCTTTGAGCCATCTCTCCAGCCCCCCAAACTTCTGTTATCTTAAGCCACCGAGTTAATGATGATGAGTTACAACAGCCACAAAAAGCTAACACTGAAGCCTTTGGGGGTGGGGCTGGAGGTTATTATGGGGCACTTAGATATGCTTGTGAATTACTGGTGGCAATTTAAGGGCATAATTGGGGACTACTGGAAAGTACTTGGGTGTTGTTGGAACTATCAAAGGGCCATGGGGTTACTGGAGAATGGTTTGAGTGTAGTTAGGAGATTGGGAGTGTAAATGGGGAATGTTTGCAAGTAGCACTAAGGGATACTGAGTGGGCAATTTTAGGGTGTAGTTGAGAATTCTTGAGGCATGATGTGGATGGTACAGTTGAGAGTTTTTAATTTGTGCCAGTGTGTGCACTCTTGTAAATGTACAGAAATCAGAGACCAACTTGCAGGAGTCAGTGCTTGTTTGCCAGGTGTTGAGGCAGGGTCTCTCTTCTTCCTGTGGCGATGTTCTGTACTCCAGGGTGGGTGGCCTATATGCTTCCAGCCAGGGATGGAGGTGAATGCCTGTAATTCCACCCCTTAGGAGGTGGATAGAGAGGCAGCAAGATCAATTCAACGTCATTTTAGCCACATGGTAAGTTTGAGACGAGCCTGAGCTCCATGAGACCCTATCTCAAAAGAGAGGGCGGAGGAGAGGAGAGGCACACACTTTTTTTTTTTTTTTTGGTTTTACGAGACAGGGTTTCTCTGTATTGTTTTGGAGGCTGTCGGTCCAGCCTGGCCTCGAACTCACAGAGATCCACCTGCCTCTGCCTCCCGAGTGCTGGGATTAAAGGCATGCGCCACCACCGCCTGGCTGAGGCACACACTTTTAATTCCAGTACTCTGAGGCAGAAGACAGCCTGGTCTACACAGTTCCAGGACAGCAAATACTGGGGGGCGGGGAATCCTGTCTCAAAAAAAAAAAAGAGGAGCTGGGTAGTGGTGGTACATGTCTTTAATCCCAGCACTCAGGAGGCAGAGGAAGGGGTATCTCTATGAGTTCGAGGCCAGTCTGGTCCACAGACTGAGTTCCAGGAGAGCCAGGGCCTGTCCCAAAAAAGAAAAAAAAAGAGAAGGAGGGCAGTAAGGAAGTAAAGCATAGAGAAACAGAGGAGAGAGACACCCATACAGAGGGGGCGACAGGGAGAGAGATAGAGAAGGGA